TGTGTTTTATTTCATTATTGTCGTTTCTCATTTTTCTTTTATTTTCCTTCTCTGACTTTTATAATACAATCTCTCATACCTTCTGTGTCATCCACTGTTTACAAATCTTAGTAGTATTAAGGTTTGCTTTTCTCTGTTTTGGACTCTTAGTTGTTCTACTCGGTCTGCTTCTGTATTCCTCTTCTTTAAATAAGGTAATATTTTATTTAATCTTACAGTTGTGTTTTTATTGTTTTAGAGGATTTGATTTAGTTTTTAATGTTAAAAGTTAATGATTTTATTTCTCATCACTGGAGTTAGTTCTTATGTATTTTGAAGTGTTTTTTGTTCTTTTGCGTCAACTCTATCCACTTTCATTATTGCTTTAAGGTACTTATTTCTTACCTTTTCCACCTCATTTCCATATACTTATCGTTTATTTTTTCTGTTTTCTTCCTTTTCTTCAATTTTCATTAGAGAGTTCCTTTTTTATCTCTATTTTGAAGTGTTTTTACTTCATCTACATCAACTCTATTCACTTTCGTTGTTGCTCTAAGGTATTTATTTCTTACCTCTTCCACTTTATTTCTAAATCTTCATTCTCAATTAAAAATCAATTGGTCCCTGGCGGTGATGATGTTTTTCGTCTTTATTGTTGCCATGTATTGAGTAATTGCTAATAGTGATTTAGCAAGTATTGATGTTGCCTGGATTATTGAAGATTTATCCTCATATCATTTTGTTTAAGGTGTTTATGTTTTTTGAAAAATAACAAATATTTTTACTTCTTACTTGCAAATATTTTATTTCTCTTATTCCATTCTGAACCATTTCATCTTTGAACCGATTTTTTTTAAGGTTTTTATTCACTATTACAGTTATTAAATTTTTTTCCTCTATTATTTAGTGTAAGTCTTTCAATAATTCAGCTGGTAGCCAATGATAATGTTGAATCATAATTCAGTTACTTTTGATACATGTTGGTAGCAAAAAAAAAAAAAAAAAAAACTGCCTGAGAATTGTTGCCATGTATTAAGTAATTGTTAATAGTGATTTACTAATTGTTGATGTTGCCCGGATTATTAAATATTTATCCTTATATTATTTGGTTTAAGGTGTTTATATTTTTTTTTAACAATAACCAATCTTTTTACTTCTTAGTTGCAGGTGTTTTATTTTTTTCATTCCACTTTGAACCATTTCATCCTTTAACCGAATTTTTTCCTAAGGTTTTTGTGTTGGAAAATAATGGCATCGAGTGCGCAGCGGAATTTAAAAAATTTAATCGACGTCAAAGCCAACCAAAAACATGTTCATGATGCTATATAACATAAATACGAAAGATCTAAATCATACCTTTTGAGATTTAGGAAACTGCACGTCTGACAGATCAAAGCGTTCCAAACAGCAACCGGAAGAGCCTCAACCAACTGGTATTCTTTGCTATTTTCGTTTCCATGATCGGAGTGTGGGTGGGCACACGTCGTTCAATCCCCTCTTGGTATTCTTGATCTCCTTCCAATCACAAGAGAGCCAAAGATAAAATTGTTCTTGAGAATTAAACAATTTTTCCTCTTGATAATCTTTTATCAATAGCCGCCAAAAAGTCTCTCAAGTGATCTAATGAATAAAGTGACTTAATATGCTATTTATAGTGTTTAGGAAGTCATACTTCCGTAATAATTAGGTTTCCCAAAGTTCTAATCGCATCCAAAGTTAATTTTGCCACGTCAGCATGCATTTTACGTTACAACCGGTCGACCGGTGACA